ATCGGTTGATCGGTGTTTCCGAAATCGTCGACGAAAATTTGTATCCGCACACATACACACACATACTTCCATTTTTTCTAAAGTATGCCAAAATGTTCAGAAACCTTTGAAACGTAAAGATCTATAAAAATTTTCATTTTCGATTTTTTTGCGATTACTATAACTTGCCCTACGGGAAGTTAATAATTCAAAAACATTTTTTGTACTATTTATTTCTAAAAATTTCTATTTTTATTTTATTTATTTTTCTCCCAAACAAACTTTTCGCACTGTTCTTCATCACATAATGCTTCCATTTTCCAAAATCAAAAAAACAACTTTTCTTGGGAACACAAACAAACCAGTGCAAAGCAAAACAAAAAAAACTCTACGTATAGTACAAAAAAATATCCAACAAGTTGAATAATGCTAGAGTTAATAGCTAGAGCGTGAAAGTTGTGCAGAGACCCTGTGTACACTGAATATTATTTGTCTAGCGATATTGTCTACGGGGAGCGTAGAGTGACTCTCGCTAAAGTGATCGATGTGTACACGATGGGACTTTACATAGAGCGCTCTATTAGTGCTCTCGCTAGAGCGACTCTAGCCAAAAACTCTACAGTGTACCTTAAACAAACCGCATGAACTCCTCGAAATGTACATTTAAATGTACATGTAAGTAGTAATAATCGACTTGATCCATAAGAAATGAACATATAAATTTATACGTAAACCGATGAGTAGTGTAGGGCGTATTATAATGTGAGAAACTATTGCAGATTATTCAATTTTGATTTTTTTTTATTACACGGTAAAAATTCAAACACTATAAGGCCAAATTATCCAAATTTTAATTATCCAAATTTAATTTATTTTTATATATATATTATATTTATATATAACTAGATGACCCGACAGACGTTGTCCTGTACTTATATTTACAATTCAAAAGTTGCAAGTTTTTTTAATAACCTATTCTTATATTTACCAATTAGTTAAAAATTATTATGTTTTTTTACACTACAGTCTATACTGAAATGTATATACATCCACCCATATATATGGGTGGGTCCAGATCCATATGGATCTTAAATGTACAACTGTTTTAAATAAAATGATGAGTGCATGTTTTTTTGAAAAACATTATAAAACATTTTTTTCTTATAATTAGTTTTTTTATCGATATCCGACGTCATTTTGAAAAAAAAAAGAAATTACATCACTGAGAGGGATGTCATCCCCCCGGAAATGGCAAAAGAGTCTAAATTATTTTCACTTTTGAACTTGAGAGTAAGATAAACCTAATTTCAAAATTTTATACAAATTGGAGCACAGTAAAAAAATTCAGACCCAAAGTGCTCCATTGACTTGAGTAAATATTCCGTATCTGATGGCTAAAATATGAAAATACTAATGTTTGTATGTGAAAAAGAAAAGGGCTGTTTTTAGGGGTTTTCCGGCAATTTTTCGATTTTATCTCGCCGTAAGAACCATCCTTGGACATCAACGAACATTTTTAAAAAAGAATTGGCCAAATTGGTTCAGGCGTGGTTGAGTTATGCGCTTACCAACACATTTTGCGGTCCATTTTTATATATAAGATTAACTCATATTAAATTTGATATATAGTTAACTATACTTTTCGTAGGACTATAATATTTTAGTATCTTCGTTAAGATAAAGTAGTCTATATATAGTCGATATATCGTCATACAAAGATTCATTAAAATTGTCGAAAAAAGAATTTTTAGCAATCAATTACGAAGAAAGGATTTCGCCGATCTTTGTCAGAACCCAAATAATATCTTTCGAATAGTTTTTTAATTTGAAAATCGGTTCAAAATTTTTGACTAAAATGTGAACGAAAAATTTTGCAATTATCTGCTAATTCTAAAGAAACAGCTCAGCCGATCGTATCAAAAATCTAACCAACGCGAGTTCTCATCAAGTTACATCGAATGGTTTTTAAATCTTCGAAATCGGTTCAGCCGTTTTTGAGAAAAGTTCTACGAAAGGCCAAATATCGGTTCACACATACACAAACATACTTTAGTCTCATTCGTCTGAAACGTCGAGAATTTATAAAAATTAGTAAATCAGATTTTCTTCCAAAAACAAACTTCTTCGGACGTTAAAAAAAATTATGAATAAGAACTGAAAATGTAACATTTAGTTGAACTTTGTATTGACTGCTGTATTTAACGCACTACTTAGTTATTATGTCTTTGATATATTTCTCATCAATATGATTATAATATGACTATTGCAGTTCTCATATTTTTGATAAAACATTACGGTAGTATCCAATCATAAATATATTGTTAAACATGAATATTGAAGAGAAATAGCAGAAAAAATATTTGTTTTTATAATGAAAATGTTTAAGATATAAATTTAATAAAAAAAGCAAAAAATTACATTTGGATGTAATATATATATATATATATATATATATATATATATATATATAAATTTCAATTATACATACTACAAAATGTAAAAATACACAATTGTAAGATAAAGAATATATTTCAATAAATAGTTCTTGATATTAATAAATAGTCTTCATTTTTTCAAAATATTGTATAACCATCTAAACAATTTATTAAATAACAAAAATATATTATAACTATTCCCGTATTAAAAGTACACACACAATGTCTTTTAAAAAGTAATTGTCATGTATAACTCCACCATTTATTTTAATATTATATCTTTCCTTTACTATTGCACATTTAATTCATTTGTACTATCGTTACATTTATCGTCAATGTTTCTTGGTACATATAATGGCATTCCCATAAATTTAGGAATAGCCTTACCATTTGAAGAATTTGTCATCGACGCTTTTCTATTTACCGTAGGCATTTGTTTTTTAATTTGTTGATACTTGAATGCACCATTTCCTGGCATGGATGGTAGCAATTTGGTTTGCGCAAACCAATATTTGTAAGTAAAATACCATACCAAAATAGCCAGACACGCTGCCACAAATTTTTCAATCATTATATGGAAATAAAGCATTGTGGAAACTAACATTACATCCCATAGTACAAGTAACATTGTCATTGATATGAACAATAATCGGATATAAGGTGTTACTTTATTATACGATGTTTTTAAGGTGTAGAGCTCATTATCATTCAAATATCTCAGTGGATTTGAGCTTACTTGAAGCTGTTGCTGCGCTCTGAAATGTTCCTCATTTCTAATATGATCTCTAATACTTTCCCAGCCAATAATCGCTTTAGCTTCTTCCATAAGTATTAAACTAGAATATATAAGTAAAAATGTGTGTCCACTTATATCAAATCCATTCCAAACGTGCCCACTCCTTAAACATGTAGACTTTGTAAGGAAACCTTTTACTTTGCAATATCCATATTGTACTTCAATGTAATTAAAAGATTTGGTAAAAAACAGCCAGAATACAGTGGCTATGCCAAGTCTTAATAAGTGATTCTTCATTATTTGTTTTCTATTACCACAACAATAAGTATATGCGGTTAAGAGTATAAAGGGTACTGTTAGTAACAATGTCCACAGCCAGCCTATTTTAACGAAATATAAGTTAAAAATATTATTAGACCTAGAGAAGTAGGTCCTTGGTATTGAAGCATGGTCCGTTATTAAAGAAATAATGAACACTGCTGCTAAGTATATACCAACTTTAAGATTCACATTATAAAATATAACTCTTCTACACTGATGTAATATTATTAAATTTAACACTTCAGACATAGAAGTTGGAGGTGCTGTTGGTTTTGTTCCTTTGGCTTCTGCATTTTCACCAATATTTGGGCGAAAATTCATCCGCGGGCTCGAATGTATTGGTTTCCTCTTAGTAGCCATTTGGTTTATATTGTTTAAGAATATTTGATTGCACAATAACTGAAGGAATAATGTTCAAGGTGAAGTGCATAGGTCACATACTTATGAATAAATTATTTTTAATTTGTGAAATAATGTCAACGATCATGCTTGTGCTTAATTTATTTTTGACTTCTATTTTAGAAATGTTTGTGGCATGACGGCGATGATAATGCTATAATTGTATTTTGTCTATAAATAGCAAGCAATTTTACTAAATTAAATATGAAACGAATGTATATATCTGTGGCACTTTATGAAATTTTGATTTTAAATATATGACATATTTTAAAAATTATTGTCAAAATTTATTATTTTGCATACTAAAAATAAAAAAAACATCTGCTAGACTAAACATGGCTATTCTAATTTCTATTACATGATCAATCAGGTCACACTTATCCATTTTGATTAACATACAAGAGAGGACTAAAAACTGAAAAGTAATTATTATCCAGATAAAAAAAGAATATGATTAGTTTGATTATTATATTGTAAAGAGTAAAGACAAGATACAATATAATCTTGTCAAAGTATAATACGATTCAATCCATACTCTTTTTTTATCTATGTTTCAATCATTCAATCGACCACGAATTCAAAATTCAATAATGCCACGACTACTGCAAGGATTTTGTATTACACATTACATATGTATTATTTGCAGAATTTTGCTTTAATTTTTTATATCAGTTAAGGTTAATTCAAAAAATAAAGCATATTTTAGAAAATTATGTTACAAAAAAGCCTCTAGATTCGAAAAGTTTTGTTGGTTGTCTAGGGACGGTTTGTTTAATGTCAAACTGAAAAACGCGTTGTTTAAATAACTAATGAAATTATGCATTATATTGAAAAGTAATAAATATTATTAATAACAATAACAAATAGAAATAATATTTATCATAGGATATAATTAATCAAGAAGATAAATCACAGAATAAATTTTAGTTTCGCCTCCTTTCTATCTTTTATTACCTTTAATATCATCGGGCAATACTATTTTATTTAATGTCTTGTTTTGGTTTAGTTTCGGTTTTGTTTATTTTTTATTAATGATTAACTTCTTTTTATTAATGATGCTAATTATTTTATAATAGTTGTTTACTATATATATTCAGATTTATTATAGTTTATGCTGAGCAAAAGAATTTTTTATCTTAGATGATTCATATTAGCTTAGATTTGTCTGCCACGTAAAAATTAAAAATAACTTTGCAATAATTGATCTCAATGAAAATGGAAAATGACAGTAACAGTAATGAAGATCGCATTATGTATTTACAGCAACGGAAAAAGGCTTTAACTTTATTATTACAAGAAAAAAATGAGTTGTTAAGAAGACTTTGCCTACAAGAGGCTGACATAACTGGTGTCATACCTTCTGAAACGCCAGAAGAAGTGCCAGAGGCTCCGCCAGATACGAATTATTTAAACGATGCCAATGTAAATTTAACTTTACGTCGTAAAGTCGAAACTGGGTTTAAGTTATCAGAAAATTTACTATGTGGCAGCATAACCAATGAAGATGATGAAGTTCGAAAATTACTTCTTGAGAAACAAGTACAAACGAGCATTGCAGAAGCAGCTCTTCACATGGCAAATAACTTGTCTAATAATAAAGCTGTGCGCAGGAAACACAGACATATGTATAAACAGTCTCAAGAAAAACTTGCTGGCATAAATGAGACTCTGACTAGGAGAATATCACAAATTCCTAAAAGTAGTTCTCTGGAAGTTGACCTACAACATAGTACTTCAGCAGAAGAAAATTTCAATACATCACCAATCATACGTCACAATAGTCACCAAAGCACAAGCAACAGGCATTCTGAATTCATTCCCGATAACTATTATTTGCAGCATGCTGATCATAATCCTAGCTCTTTTAAAGATATTAATAGATATACTCATTATAGTCATGGTGATATGCGTTATGTAATGCAAAATAATGAACCTCAAATATCTAATATTGAAGACAATATTGTGGCTCATAACTATTATATGAATAATAAACCAAATATACATTTACCAAATAAGTATAGAAAAAAGCCTAGACCACCAGTTGATGATCATTCAGTAAAACGAGATCAATTGAGTTTGTCAAAATATAATATAGATAATCAACAAGTGGGATATGTGGACCAATTACAAAATCAAATTTCAGACTATAGAAATACAATTGCATCAGATTCATTTTTTACATATCCCAGAAAGGATCATTATCAAAATCACTTTGATGAACCTGTAAACCATAATTCTGAATTTTTCTTTGAACAAAACATGGCCTCAAAAACAATGCAGATTAAAAATAAACCTTCTTACAATGTCAATCATCAGTCAGAAAGGAATTTATTTGGTAGTTTAGATCGCCGAAAAATTAATATATCCCCCATGGCAAGTGAAAATATTAGAGCAAATCAAAAAATTAAGAATTCTAATCGTTCACATTCTATTGGAGAATTAAAAATGGCTGAAGATGTTACTGACAATATATCTGTTGGTTCTCATAACAGTGGAAACACTTTAAAAGAAAAACAGTGGCATGAAACATCATTAGATGAACAGCCTATTTCACCAGTGAAACAGAGAGCAAAAACTATCAGCCATCCATATGATGTTCCTATTAATGCAAATTATAACGATAATTTTAGAAGTTCAGTACATGGTAAATATAATTATGATTATGTGGATCCACAATACCTTCAGAGTGCATTACCAAATCAAATTGATGGTTTATATGAAAAGAATTTTGTATATACAGAACCTCCAAGGCCTTCTCCTAAATTCATACCTTTAAATGTAAATCAAGCACAAACAGCGACAGCAACGGCAAAACCAGCCATGCCTTCTCCAACACAACAGTATTACGAAGGTAATGGTGACATCTTTGCAAAATCGCCCAAAGAAAACCATTTTAATCATTCTCTTCCACCTAAAACTGTTAATGAACAACCAACTAAGCAATTTTTATCACCAAGAACGGTTCCTGTGGAATCGCCAAAAAATATAGAAGTTGTATCCCCAGGAACGTGGTGCCCTTATAAAGAAGTATCAAAACCTTTTGAGATGTCAGATTTTTATAAATATTCTACAAAGTTTAGAAATAGACAAATGGATTGTAATACTAATAAACCACCAATGCCCAAGCCACAATCTAATGTCAGTGCAGAAATCAAACCTCAATACTCTGAGCATTTAGAATCTAATTCAGATCCTATTCAAAAGGGAGTTTACCAGCCTTTGAGACCTTTAAAGTGCCAACCATTTTTAATGCAGAATCATAATATTGAAACCGGATGACTAACTTATGTAAGTTAATAAATAAGTTGAGTGTATAAAATAAGTTTATTAAGGAAACAAGGATACTGTGATCAAAACACATTTTTTATCAATTTGTCCACTAAAAAACAATAATAATTTCTCATGCACAGAAAAATAATGGATCAAATTTATTTAACTTTATTATTACATGTTTTTTTGAGTGCATGTTATATTATAAGACTAATTCTACCATCATTGCAACAAAAAAAGCAACTTTTTAGTTCATCTGCACATTAAACAAATTAATTTTGTTTACTTATAATTCATATAGCATTTCTTGTTCTGATTTTTAGGTTTATTTTGTGCAAAATGTGCCTATATTTAAAACAATGCAAAACAATTTGACCAATTAATTCTCAAACAATATAAATTTTGAATGCTTTGTGATGATGTATTATAGAATATTATTGAGCCAAATTATCATATTTATTTGAATTGATGAGTACCTTTGATATTAATTGTTATTAATAGCTTTTATTATTAGGTTATTTCATTTTCTATATCTATATAATTCAATAATTATAGTATTTGAATTATAATATAAGTGCCTTTTTTATCATTAATGCTAATGTAAAATAATTATATATATATAAATGTATATAAAAATATATATTTTTTAAAATATGTTTGTTCTTTTTTTTCTTGTGGTAAAATATTATGTTAAATATTCAACTAATTTTAAAGATATATTAAATTGTTCATATATATAATACAATTAAGATAAAGAATACATCACATACTTCTGCATTTCAAAACATTGCACAACTCGCTCAGTGAACCCGCACGAACGATTATATATATACAAATATTTTCAGAAAATTTAAATATTGGGGTTTAATATATATTAGACCCAGACAATGTGTTGTTTTTTTATATATCCCCAGAAAGTTTTGCTAATTTTTGTTTTCATTAAAGTCTACCATCCCTCTCATATTCATAATCTTTCATCATATATGCTGGATGGTATTTAATTTGACCATCTGTTGTAATATATTTTAAATGTGGATTCGGCACAGTATTACTTCGGGAGCCTAAAGATGTATAACTGAAAAAAAAACTTTAGGTTGGTCACTAAAAATATTACAAATTAAAAGAAAAAGAAACTCGATGTTTATACTCGTGTTTATGCATAAATAATAATTATAATAAATATATATTATTTATATATATATATTTATTATAATTATTATTTGGATTTCACTAAATTATTTTAGTGAGCAAATAAATGATTTAGTAATTACCCTTGATCATAGAGTGAGCAATATGGAACTTTATTAGTTATTATGTAGTCCCAAATATCTGACAAATCCCAATCTAACAGCGGGTTAACGCGCAGAAGTTTAGGCCAACCTGGGTCCGTCATCTAAAATTAACAAAAAAAACAAATAACATATTTGAGATCTAACATCATCTGATGATGCATAAAATATTATAGCAACCTGAATTGCTTCCATTTTGCCACAATGTGGATCAGTTCGTCGTGATCCCATGAAACTAGCTTTGAGTTGAGGTTTCGACACTGTCAGATCTTTTAAAGCCAGTTTTAAGGAAGAGTCAAATGTTATTAGATTTATGGGGTACAGATTTTTGCACTCAGTCACAAAACTTTCTATCTATGATATGGTAAAAAACAAAACTTATTGATACAACAGTAATAAAACATGTAACTCCTAGATTTTAAAAGTTAGTAATATATTATTATAATAATTAAACAAGTAATTGTTTGCCTTACTTATAATAAAAATATAGAGTTTAAAAATTGCAGAAGAGAATGGATCCCATAATGCTGAGGATAAAAAAATCAAAAATATTTTTAACTTTCATGTTTTTATGGAATATCATTCTGAATCGAATGAGATATTTGTAAATATGCCTGTATTTGAGCCGATTTTTGAGCTTATCATCGACGTTTTCTCGACTCAAAACGGCTGAACCGATTTCAAAATTTAAAGGCTATTCCAATAAACTTAATAAGCACTTGCGTCGCCGGTTAGCTTTTTGTTACGATCGTCTCATATTTAATTTTTTCGATCACGTTTTAGCCTAAATCAATTTTGAAAAGTCAAAAACCATGCGAAAGATATTTGGAAATCATGTTAATTATTATGATGCTATAGCATCTATGTATATACGTATAAGTCACTCATAAATAATATATTGATTTCTTATTCGATTAAGTGGATCATATAACTAATTACTAATAAAAGTATATACCTCAGGAAAAGATCATTAGGTCTCACATATAAACAGAGTAATGGAGGTGCATCAGAACCATATTTAAGTTTATAAACTCTTTGGAGTATATGTAATAAAACAGTGCAATCCTTGCCCCCATTGAAAGACATAAAAATTTCATCTGCCTCACATTGAGATAAAGATTTTTCTATTACCTGAAAATAATCGAAATCTCATCAATTATAGTGATAATCAACCTTATAAATAAAGTCATATCAATCATTTTGACACAATCATTTAATTCACTGATTATGTCTATAAGACACCGTAAAATAACTGATTATATTATTATTTAACTTATTTTTCTCTGTTATTTTCAACACAGAGTTTTGAGAAAGCAAATGTATTCTATATGCTGCTTCACTGTTTGTATAATGATTACAAAATTTTAGACATTGGTTTTTAGAAACATTTACGTATTAAAAAATACTTTACCAGCAGTTGTACATGATAATTCTCTAGAAGACATTGAATATGGTTATTGAAAAGTTACATTTTTATAATATATTTTTTGTAAAGAACACTAGGAAGAATCAGAATAAGGATAGGATAGTTATATGATTTTTTAAATATTCCCAAACATATAGAGTATGGTTTGTTGCACAAAATTATTAGATTAAATTGTTACTATGCTTTGTTGAACATATTTCACAATATTTGTGATAATATTATATAGTTAAGGAAGTATTCTGGTCTAGAATTTTAGTTTTTTTTTATCTTCAATGTTAATTATTAAGAATTTGTGTAGACAAAGACTTTTGATAATTTAAATTATTTTCGAAGATATCGCTCTCCGAAACTTTAAACACATTTTCTTGAAATTGTCTTTTTCAATACGATACCCACGATATCTCAACTTCTACTGGAGCAATTTTCTTGAAATTTTTAGCAGCATTTAAAACTAAATAACCATACGTTCAATTTTTATGACGCAAAGTCCTTCATCATGAGTCGAAAGTCTCACAAAGACGCTTTTCGGAATCGGCCTATATTTTTTGAACAAAAACTGTATCATCAACAAACGAACGGACAAAAGCTTCATCTGCGAAAATTACCAATATGTTCTAAATAATGTTTCCCAATTTATATCGAATACCTAACACCATGC